CTTTTTTTTTTAACCTTTTCTTTTTACAGAAGAAAAAAATGAACAGCCTGAAAGAATAACTAATATACATATATATATATATATATAAAATCTTCACCTAAAATCCATGTATTACTATTATTTTGTTCATTTTACATAAAAGGAAATAGTTGTAGCAATAGGTTATATGACTTGCCCAAGACATCCTACTAGCAAATGGCAAAGGCAGAGTATAGTCTAATTTTTAAAAGACTGTACTGCTACATTATCTCTTTGTAGATTTTCTTTTGTGTAATTGTTGCCTAACAGATTGCCCTAAAACTTAGTGGCTTAAAACATTATCTCACAGTGTCTGTGAGTCAGGCATCTAGGCAAGGCTTAGTGAGTTTCTGGTTCAGGCTGTCTTGTAGGCTATAGTCAGGGTCAGCTGGAGCATAGTCATTTCAAGGCTCAGCTAGGAAAGGTCCCACTTCAAAGCTCTCACGATTGTTGACATGGTTCATATCCTCCTGGCTATTGGACTGAGGGCTTCAGTTCTGTACTGTCCATTGTCTAGAGACCTCCCTTGATTCCTTAGTATGTAGGCCTTTCAGAACTTGGCAGCTGGTTTCTGTCAGGGTGAGCAAATGAGAAAGCAAAATGGAAGCCACTTATTTGAGTAATCTAATCTCATAAATGACATCCTATCATTTTTGCCATATTCTATTTATTAGAAGCAAGTCAGTAGGCCAACCTGTACTGAAGAGATTAACCAGGGGCATAAATACCAGAAGGCAAGATTATTGGAGCCACCTTAAAAGCTGCCTACCTTCGTGTGTGTGTGTGTGTGTGTGTGTGTGTGTGTGTGTGTGTGTGTTTAATTTTTTTTTTTTTTTCAGTACTAGAGATTTAACCTAGGGATTACTGAGCTATATCCCAGACTTTTTATTATTTTATTTTGAGATGAGGTCTTGCTAGACTTTGCCAGACTGATCTCAAACTTATGATCCTCCTAAATAGCTGGGATTACAGCCATGCCAGGCTTTAATTTTAAAACGGTTATAAATGTCCCTATACTAGGCATGGTGATGCATGCCTGTAATCCTAGCACTTGGGAGACTGAGACAGGAGGATCACTGCAAGTACAAGGCCAGCCTGAGATATCTAGCAAGACCCTATCTCAAAACACCAAAAATTAAATAAATAAATAACTGTCCCTAAGTTTCCATGGGGGAAGTTTTCAGGACCGCTTGGATACCAAAATCCCTTGAAGGTCAAGTCCTTTATATGAAATGGTGTAGTGTTTGCATATAATTTATGCATATTGTCCTGTGTACTTTAAATCATCCCTAGATTACTTATAATACCTAGTATAATGTAAATGCAATGTGAATAGTGGTTATACTTTTATTATTTAGGGAATAATAACTAGAAAAAAGTCTGTACATGTTCAGTACAGATACCATTTTGTAAAATTGTTTGTGCAGTAATAAGAGTTGAACCTAGGGCCTCACGTATGCTAGGCAAGTACTCTACCACTGAGCTAAATCCCCAGCCCTAAGAATATTTTTGGTGTCCATGGTTCACTGAACCTGTAGGTGAAGGACCTGAGGATACAGGGGGCTGAGTACGCAGACCTGTGAAAGGTTGCAGAGGTAATGAATTTTTTTTTTTTCCTGTGTTATTTGCAGGTAAATCACCAAAGTGATGCTTCATTACTCCCAAATATTTCCCACAAAGATTTTCTCTTTCATACCCAGAATGCAGTAATCAAAATCAGAAAATTGCCAGATACAGTGGCTCATACTTGTAATCCCAGCTACTTGAGAGGCTGAAGCAGGTTTGAGGACAGCCTGGGCAATTTAGTGAGACACTCTTTCAAAATAAAAAGCGTTAAGGATGTAGTTAAATGGTAGATCACTTGTCTGCTCGAGATGCTGTGTTCAGTCCTTCTTACCACCAAGAGATAAAGCAGAATATTGGCAATGATAAATTATTACCATCCAATCCTCAGATCCCAGTTTGTTTTAATTAGTTGTACTAATAATGTTCTTTGCAGCAGAAAAGATCTTGTTGATTATCTTTGCATTATGTTGTCATGTTGCTTTAGTCTCCTGTAATCTAGAACCTTTACTGTTTTTTTTCTCTTTAATTTCATGACCTTGACACTTTTTTTGTTTGTTTGTTTGTTTGTTGTTTTTTTGTTTTTCTTCCCGTACCGGGAATTGAACTCATGGCCTTGCACTTGCCGGGCAGGCACTATGCTGCTGAGCTAAATCCCCAGCCCCTATCTTAACACTTTTGAAGAGTTAAGCAAAGTATAGATCATACCTCAGCTCACCTTTGTCTGGTGTTTCCTTCTGATAGGTTCAAGCTCTGCAAGAGGATCATAAAATGATGCTGCATGCTCATGGATCTAGTCAGGCGGCACATATTAAGGGTTATCTCTTTATGGTGGTGATCACTTGGTGAAGGAAATATTGGCTATGATCGTTACCTGCTCCTTTGTAAAATAACTCCTTTGTAATAAAAACCACTTCATGCTGGGCGTGGTGGCACACAACTGTAATCCTAGCACTTGGGAGGCTGAGGCAGGAGGATTGTTGTGAATTGGAGACCAGCCTGGGTTACAAAGTGAGCTCAAGGACAGCCTGAACTGCATAGCGAGACCCTGTCTCAAAAAGACCAAATAAATAAATAAATAAAAATAAAAACCACTTCATGAGGAGGTTATCTAAAACTGTAACTCTCCCATTCCCCATCAAATTTCATATTCTTATTTACATATTTGTAGCATCACAGGCTCATGGTTTCCTTTTTTGTTCAGTGGATTACAATCTATTACTGTGCTCCAGTTGTCCCTCAATAGTCAGTGGAATCCTCTTCAAGTGTGTGTGTGTGTGTGTGTGTGTGTGTGTGTGTGTGTGTGTGTGTGTTTTGAGACAGGGTCTCGCTATGTAGTTCAGTCTGGCCTTGAAGTCACTATGTAGCCTAGGGTGGTCTCAAATTTGTGGCAGTCTTCCTGCCTCACCTTCCAAGTGTTGAGACTACAGATGTGCCTCACCTGGTTCTAGAATGCTATTTAAAAGTCAGGATCTAATGATGGTACACACCTATAATCCCACTATTCTGGGAGGCTGAGGTAGGAGAATCCCAAATACTATTCCAGCCTGGGCAGTTTAGCTACTTAGTAGGAGCTTGTCTCAAAAAAGAGCTAGAATGTAACTCACGGTGAAAGCCCTTGGTTCAGTATCTAGTACTGGGCGGGGTTACAAAGCCAAGATCTGTGGAGTGTTACAACGTGAACTTGTAGTCATGGATGCTATTGCTGTTAGGTACCCTTAGAGGAAAAACTAAGGAATTAGGGAATGCTGTATGTATAGATAAACATAATACACATATGCATATGTATGTGGCCTACATTTATGTGTACGTGTAGAGTTATCCCTCGGTAGCCACAAGGGAGTTGACTTCAGGACCCCGTTGGACACCAAAATCCCTGGATATTCAAGCTTCTTACAGAGAGTGGCATAGTACTTGAGACCAGCCTGGGCTATGTAGTGATTAAACTCAGTGCCTCACATATACCAGGCAAATGTTCTATCATTTTAGTTACAGCCTTAGCACTCAGATGCATTCTTTGGGAAACAAAAGAAAAAAACCCTTGAATTTATGGCTAGCTGAGCTTGCAGATGGAGACCTTACAGATAAGGAAAGCCAACTGTACACATGTTTATGTCTACATTTGTTTATTTATGTCTATATTTGAAAAACTGTGTGAGCCCTGCTGGCACTTCTAATTCACGTTCTGCCCCACAGAATTCATTCTAATTGTCTCCCTTTTCGTATTGTCTTGCCCTTACTCAACACTGTGAAGCTCAATTCTTTTTATCCTTAATACATTTACTTTCCTCAGTCTCCCTGTATGCATGCACTATTCCATTTCTGCTGTGCTTCTGTCTCCTGCATGAATGACCTGGTTTTTTTCCATGGTATTTAGTGATTGAACTCAGGATCTTTATACTGAGCCACATTACTGCTCCTTTTTAAAAAATTTATTATTTTGAGACAGGGTCTTGCTAAGTCAACAAATTTCCCAGGCTGGCCTCAAACCTGTGGTTTTCTTGATTCAGCCTCCCACAGTGCTAGGATCACAGGCATGTGCCACCATCTCAGCTCTTTATCTCATTCAGGCCCTAGCACTCCACATGGAATTTGTCCATGTGGATATCTTTTACATCTCATTTTACTTTGACACCCCCAGCATGGGCCACCCTTCTATCTGGTTTCCCTTTTCAGCCCACTTAGATTCAGGCTACATTGTATGGTCTCTCCATATCATCCTGGCACAGACGTCTTCCCTGTTCCCTATCTAATGACTTTAATGTGCTCAGGAAGGAGAAGATATTTTAACTATCGTAACAGTTCTTTGGATTCAGTTCAGTTTTCTTTGGGGGGGGCGGGATTCAGCTCAGTTTTCAATACAGTATTTAGATCCATTTCCTTTTGCTCTTATTGGCTCTAAATTGATCACTTCTGGACAAGGTGATCATCTATTTAACTTAATCTAGGTAAGTGATTCTGTTACTTTTATTCTAGGTAATCCCAGCTCCTTTCACATTTATATCTAAATTCTGTTATCTAATCATCATTCCTCCTTTTGCTGATATTAGAATGTTTTTCAAACTTCTGTATCCTTTATAAAAATATAGAACTCTCTTGCTTTATCTTTTTTCCCCCTTTGTGCTGTATAAAATAAGAACTCTTTAGGTAAAGTGTTACACACACACACACACACACACACACACACACACACACACACAAAGCTGGGTGTGGTGATGTACACCTGTAATTCCAGCACTTGGGAGGCTGGGGCAACCTAGCCTGGGCAACTTGACTGAGCAAGACCTTGTCTCAAAACTAAAAGTAAAAATAAAGAAAGGACTAGGGATGTAGCTCTGTGTGACAGTCTTGGGTTCAGTGCCTAGTACCACTCACAAAAAATAAAAGTAAGGATCAGTAAACATTTATGAACATTTTTAGCTACTCTCAGCTGTTTAAAATGTGTACATCCATACACACCTATTAGTATATAACAGTTGAGTCTAAGCCAGGTATGGTGGTGCACTCTTGTAATCCTAGCACTCAGGAGGCTGAGGCAGGAGGATCATTGCTACTTCGAGACCAGCCTGGGCTACAAAGTTAGCTGAAGGCCAAACTGAACTGCATAATGAGACCCTGTCTCAAAAAGACCAAAAAAAAAAAAGGAGATGTAGAATATTATTAATTTTACCACTTTCATTCTGTGGAAAGTAAAGGTAAAGGTAGTTATGGCACAG